CAAGATGGTACCTGTTGGAGTGACTGTGCACGAGTCGAAAAACCCAGATATGCTACGAATTTCTCATCATCATAGTACACGCATTGCGTGTATATACGTATCTTCAATGTATCTTCGGTGAAAGTACCACCAGATGCTTGGCATAAAGTGTTAACCAAAAACCTCACACTTATCTGCACATTCATCAGATGAGCTAAATGAAGAAGATCGTAAGATTCTTACGAGTCAACCAGAGGCCCGACCGACGCTCTAAGCGAGAGATTCTGACTTACGTGGGTGATGTACGTGACTTCCGCGGCGCCAAGGCGCGTTTCCCGTGACGCGGGATCAGTTGCACAGCCATAGCACAATTTTTAGGGAGATGTCATATGCTGTAGTCAGGCATTAATTGAGTATTATGTCTCTGTAGCTGAGTCACTCTGTGTGCACCATTGTGACCTCAGCATTTCTCCTCATCTATTTAGTGTAAGTAACTGAGAATGGTTATCCTCGCACTCTTGAAGTTATTTGCACCACTAAGCCATTAGCTAGCCCTTACTAGGGTGGCACGAATTATTTCCTTCCAATTATTTCCTTCCATTTCCTTCGGAAAGATGAAGGAAATTTAGAAAATTCTTTCGAGTAGGAAAAATAGGGAAAAATAGGAAAAATAAGGAAAAATAAGGAAAAATAAAGAAAAAATTTCCGAAACGACCATAAATGGGCACAAAAATTTCAAAAAACAAGAGGTCTCACACCAGGTGATGTCTGGGATATATGTCTGTGTTAGTGGTCTCGGTTAGACTGAGTATAGGGAAACCTTGTTCGCCAGGATGATCAAAGACCTTTGTGGCGAGCGAGAATTCGATTCGCACTTCCACTGGAAGGCCCAGCTTGCGGTTTCGGACTGAAACTTTCAGTTATTGCATGGCACTTCGCAATGCGAAGTTCGCATCATGACCACTTTATTCGAGCGGGAAATGCTGCATTCCCACAAGCATAAGACGGTGGAGTATCAACGTAGCATACTCCAAAACAAACGGATAGGTATCCCTGACGCAACATATAGGCAGTGGTTCTGGAACCGGCCGCAGGCTCACACTGTGAGCCTCACAGTATGAGCCTCATACTATGAGGCACTGAACTAGTCAGTAATCACCGTTACCAATAGACTGACGTTTGCACCTCATTTCGCATAGTAAGTCAATGTTCTCGTCTGCGTTTCTTGCTGAAAACGATCGAACCTGTGAAAACGATCGAAACTGGAAGGCTTTGTTGGTTACTAGAAGACAATGTTGGCCGCCCCATGGACTGCCGTGACTAAAGTTTTCGACAGCCCTCTTATTCGAGAAAAAATGAAACGAAGGAATGCAACCATCAAAGGATCAATCAAGTAATGCTCAGCGACAGCTCTAATCACCGAGCGTTGCGTTACAAACTTTCCTATAGAAAGCGCGCTTGTTCAGTGTTGCAAATAGCGTGCGCCCAAGCAATCTATTGGATTTGACGCCATCCACAAGGCTGTCTCGTGTTCCAGTTCAGTTGGTGGAGAACCCGTTGCTTCTACGATTCAGGTAAGTTCTTGGGATGGCTACTGATCCTCCTCGCATTGCATTAGCCTCTCTCCTCAATGTAGAGGAAGCAGATATTCCTTTTGTTACAGAACGTGAACTTGAGGATGTTCTCAGTAATCAGGGTCTTCTTCTAAAAGATCGCTGCTTTTATCGATCTGTTTATCGACATTATTGTACAGTCAGCTCAACACCTGCTCCTAGCACTGTTACTGGCTCTACAAATAGCGCACTCTCCGACGGACCTTCGACTCTTTATCATATTCGCCAAGATATTCAACGTGAGATAGCTGCTAAGAAGATTAAGCCTTGGCGAGGTTTAGCTGATTATCGTTCGTTCATAGAGTTTAAAATTCAAGTTGGTTATATCCTCGAGGACTTAGTTAACTCAGATTCACCTACGTTTGGCACGTATGAGTATCATACTCTAAAGTATCTCATAGATTCTAACCTATGGGTGACGGTCAAAAAAGAAGTACCCGACCGCTCTCCTTCTAGAATTTGGGACTACTTGCAATCAACTCAACGCCGTCCTTTTGACTTAGGCAATCTTTATACTCGCTGGACTAAATTTCGCCAGCAGGACACTAGCGATATTTATCAACATGTTAAAAAATTTGATGATATGACTCATCAGCTTAGCACTCTCGGCTTTGAAATTCCCGCACAAATTCTTATAGCACAACTTGGGTCTAGCCTACATTCCTTTCATCTCAAGCAGATGGTGTTTGACATGGTAGCTTCTGGTGAGAAATCATACGAAGCGGTTAGAGCAGCTCTCTTGGCTCGCAGTGCTCCTCCTCGTGCATCGCCATCTAACTCCAATGAGGGGAAAGATTCTACTGCGCTCGAAAAAATGCAAGATAGCAAGACTATGCAAGTGCCTGTCACAAAAAAATTCCCATGTCGGTTTTACTTGGCTAATGGAACTTGTAAATACGGTGATCGTTGTATCTTTCGCCATACAGCAGAGGGCTCGGATTTCAAGCCTTCTAGTGCTGCTACTACTAAGAAGATGTCCAGTGATGACATTCAGGGTATAGCCACTACTACAAAAGGAACTTCACCAATACAGGTAGGCGCTCCCGTGAAAGCATGTCTTTCAGCTAAAGATACACCGCATGAGTCTGACCCCTTACCCTCAGCATTATCCTATATTAAAACATCTGCCGGATTTTTTGCCCAAATCGATGGGTGGGAGTCAATACTCGTTACTCACTCGTAGTGTTGCAGAGAAACTGCAGCATGCGTATCCCATCATCACTCTACCGCAGCCTTTAAAGTTTGAGGCTGTAAATAGTACCACTTTCACAAGTCAACATGCAGTTACGATCAACGTCCTCGGTGTTCCCGTCCGATTTATACTTGTCGATCATCTTCCTCAGGGAATAGCTGCCCTTATCGGAGTTGACCTCGTGAATGAACTTGTGATTGATTATGTACATAAAACTGCATTACATCTAGGTACCGGGCAAAAGCTCTCATTATACAGAATGAACTATCCTGCTTCGTCTGATACCTCTCCTTCTCATCTTGTTAGTTCTTGCTCTCAGTTAGAAGAACCTCTCTCACCGGATACTTTGGATAACCCAGTCTTGGAGGATCCAGCGGAATACATCCTCCAAGATGCAACTCTTACCTCTCCAGATCTCCCTTGGAATGAGGAGTATAACATGCTAGTCATAAAAGACTATGGTTGGTTGAAAATTGGACTCCAACCAGTGACAGACTCGTCTACTACTCCTAATGTAAAACAAGTTTTTTGTGCAGAGGTAAGTCCACAGGTACTTGACGATGCTTTCGGGCAAAAACAGGTTGAGGTTAAACCACATAAGCAGTATCTCCGAGCGGATAAAGCCGTCCAGACTGAATGTGATGACCTCATTCGTCAATTCGTTCTTAATGGTAAGTTACTCGAAGTATCACCTGCAGCACAATCTGACTATCCCACATGTACTTGCACCAATTATTATCCTATCGTCTCTCCTAGGGTTCGTCCTATATTCCCATGTCTAGGAGTCAATAGGTTACTTGATCGCTATGGCAAGCTCATCTTCAAGCAATTGAAATTAGAATATGTTTACCACCTCTTACGAATAGCACATTCTGTGGTGAGTCTAGACGTGAGTGATGCCTTCATGTCACTCTATAGTGGACCACGACTATCACGGTTACTCACGGTCAAAACTCCATCAGGCAAACTCTATTCAGCCCAACGTTGTATCTATGGATTGAGTCTCTCACCCTGTGTGCTAGAAGCCTCACTTCAATACATTTTAGCTACAAATGCTATTGATATTTTGCCTCAATCTCAGACTACTATCCCTAATACTGTGACAAGATCATCTCATGTTCTTCCTTCAGACCCTATCGAGTTACTTACTGGTCATAATACTGCATTCTTAGGTACGCGAACTACATATATCTCATCTTACATGGATGATATAACATTGTATCTTGGTAAGGATCTTGAAGGATACGAACAGTCTATCATTGACAAGCTTTCATCCATAGTCCTTCAATATGGATTGACTCTCAAACCTGCGAAAATCAAAATAATACGGAATGAAGATACAGTTGAAACTTTAGGTCTTACCATCTCTGGTCATGGTAGGTTCCTTTCTATCAGAAAAATCAAGTGGGATGATGTTATCAATTTCAGTTGGTCCGCATGTCCTACTTTCAGGGAAGCTCTTTCATTTTTAGGTAAGGTCACAACCACATTTGAGGACCTACTCCCACCTCATGTTGCACCAACCAAACATCTCCTACAAAGCCTAGTAAGTAACTGTCGCGAAGAGCTATGTCGCACGCAAGGTTTGGATAGAACGAAGAAGAAAACCTGGGATTTACAACTTCCCCAGGAAACCTACTCCTTACTCACTAGTTTCCATCAGTATCTCTGCTCTGTATCCTTACCTCGTATCCCTCGTGTGATTCCTATTGGGACTGCTCCTCTGGAATTACATGTCGATGCATCTCAGTATATGTTAGGTATGAAACTAGTTGATGCTTCTGATCCTAGCGTCTACTACTTTTCTCGCCAAATTCTACTCAAAGATGCAAAGCACAAGTCCATACATATAAGTGTCAACGAAGTTATGAGTGTCCTTTATGGCTCTTGTCTTCTTCGCACGTTTGAGCATTACACAGGTACTCCGTTATTATGTTATACTCTCATTCGTTGTGATAATGTTACATGCAATAAAATTGTTCGAACGCATCGAGTCAAGAGTAATCCTCTTCAACAGAATTACTACTTAGCATTGTTGAACCACCTTAAACTTCTAGGTCCTCTGATATCACGTATATCTCTACAGATGCGAATGCTGCCGATCACTTACTAGATCTCACTTTTAGAAAATTTGCTTGAGCTACACTGGAAGGCATCCGAGCACTCGAACGACCCCATTCTTACTGAAGAAGATTCACTCATAACCATGATGGCAAAACGCCATGCTGACGACGAGCAACAGACCATCGGTAATAGAGTTAAAGTTCGACGTCGTCAACAACGTGATGCACTTACCACGGACTCCAATTCATCGACATCGACGACATCATCATCATCAACCCCTCATCAATCTCTCACCTCGGTATCTTCTCTTATTCATGGACATCGTGCACAAGAACCTACACCCAGTCAATCGAAACCAAGTTCAACTGTTCCTGAACTTCTACCTCAAGCACACTCCCTATCTCTCCAGGATCATGAACCACGACCTCAAGCATCTGACACAACAACTACACCAATACAACTCCATGATAAATCAGAGTTGAGAAAGAAGATCGACTCCTACCTTACGAATCTCAGACCTGATGATGACAATAACTACGTCACTGACGACCATCCTAAATTGAATGAACTTCTCATTCTCTACTATCATCTATGTGGTCATGATGGGCAATTCGGCACAAAGATGAAACTTGACCACTTTCACTGGAGTACTAAGCAGGCTGACATACAAGCAGTAGTTCCAACATGTCATTATTGCCAAATACATAAAGTTCAACCCCATGACAACAAGCTACTTGACGAACTTGAACCTCCACGATTACCACAAGCACCCTTCATGCATGTTAGTATGGATACAACTGGCCCATTCTTTGGTCGTAACAAATTTTTCATAACTACCTTATGTGATCGACTTACCTGCTACCTTCTAGTCGCACCAACAGTGACATCACCTACTACAGCAACGGCTCTCTCTCTACTCCAAACTGTGCATCAAACTTATGGTCTCTATCCTACTAGAGTCTTGACGGATAATGGTTCTATCTATACTGCTGCTGCGAAGACTGTTACAAATTTGACTACTTGGCAATTCTCACCAATATATACTCCACAAGCTAATGGTCAATCAGAACGCTACATGAGAGACTTAGGTACTTTAGTACGTATAAAAATAGAGGAAAAGAATCTATGTTGGGAAACTCTTGACAACATACAATCTGAATGAACTTATTCACTTCATTCGGCGTTCTCATCAATCTATAATTCTCCCATTTATCTCTACATTACCTAAAGCAGCTCTCGTTTTCATACTTTATACATATATTCATCATATCTAAAGTTGAGATTTCAATCCTACTATGATAATCTCACTTTATCAATAACACTCCATTATTTGTCAAGAATGAATGTATCACAATCCTTCATGATTAATTGTTGTACAAGATTTTGGATAATTATGTCAAGAAACCTTCTCTCATTGAAGTTTATCATGAGAATCACTGTTATTCACATGTACATGTATGACATTGCTTGCACGCAATTTGCACCTACTCTCTTTCGGGGGGGGGAGCTGTTGCAAATAGCGTGCGCCCAAGCAATCTATTGGATTTGACGCCATCCACAAGGCTGTCTCGTGTTCCAGTTCAGTCCTCCACACCACGATGAGGTACTGGGACCAGTGAGGTATGAACGCAACGTAACTGGCGTCCAGTTACTGGCCTGTTTTGCAACTTGCGAATTGCGAACATCTTGCACGCGCTCGCCCTGACGTTCGATATCAAAAAAAGTGACAGGATGCGAGAAATCTCGTATTTTTTTGGCCTTACGGCCGAGAAGGTCTGCTGAGACGCGGCGTCTTAGACGCCTATGAATGTTTTTCGGACCTTCTTTTAGGGTGATGTTGGAGAAAAAGACGATTTTGTACAATAATTCCCCAAATAAGGTCCATTATTCCCCTTTTTGACCAGTCATTATTCCCGGGAACTAAAACGGGAATTATTGGGGAAGGGAAGAATGACTCTTCCTCACCCTTCAGCCACCCTGATTTCCTTTGCCAAAACCTTTACCCTTTCCTTTACCGAAACCTTTGCCTTTCCCTTTACCGCCATTATAACTATATTCCCAGTGACCGACAGCTACAACCTTGTCCTCGTCTTTTCTCGAATCTTCTTTATCACTGCCTTCATCACCATCGCCATCATTTGCATCCAAACTGTCTCCGACCAAAGTGACTGCCTCCGTCAAAGTTTGCTTGGGTAGTTTCATGAAGGTATTATAATAACCTTCAACAATCTTTGATTGTGGCAAGCTCTTCCAAAACACTTGCACACATATCTGATTTCTTGCTTCCGCAGGCAATTTAGGAAAGGCAAGCTTAGTCAACCTGTGTATCTCAGTAGAATGTCTGAACACATCCTTTTTATATCTCATTTTGCACAACGTACTAAACGCATGCTTTGGGGTCTCGCTATATTGTTTTATCATTTCAGCGATGATACCATAGTACGTCCTATCAGGAGTCTCCTTAGGATCGTGATTTAGTCTTCTGTTGTACACCTCCCATGGTTTATCTGTGAGACAAAGTCCCAAAAATTCAAGGAGTTCCTGATAAGGCAGTCGTAGTAGTCGTGCTCGACCCTCAAATTTCGACCGCCACTCCTCAAAAGTCTGAGATTTCGGGTTATACGGGACAATAGCTTTAGTAATGGCTATCGCCCTTCCCATTTCTGAAGATGCACTATTATTGCTACTCTTCATTTTCACGATCTCATTTTGCAACTCTATCAACTGAGATTGGACGTTCTCATCCAACTCTCTGACCCTCTGCTGCTCCATTGATAGGTCTTGTTCTAAGTTGTCCGCTTCTTGTAGTCTTCTTCTCTCTCCTTCATGTTGACGTTGTTGCTCTTCACCTTGTCGTAAACTTCGTTGCTCCTCATCTTCTCGCACATGTTGATCTTCAATAAGTCCACCATCAGTACCGTTCTGGTTGTTCTCAGCGGGGCTTTCTCCTTGACCATTAACCATTGTCTGGGCACCACGTGTTGTGTACTTGGGAACTCAAGAGTACCAAAAGAGGTAGATAACAATACTAACTACAGCGGAATAAATGTAGAGACAAATTGTGTGAGCTAAGGTGGGAAGGAAGGAGACAACAATTGTGTGGATACATCACAAACATATACCACGCTACAGGAGGCCCAAGCTAATTCGGTCGCTAATTCCCAGATGGCGGTCGCTAATTTCCAGATGGCGCTCGCTAATTCCCAGATCCGGCCGAGCTCGGGATCTGGGGCCCATTCCACAAGCCTCGGTAAGGCACGAAAACCGTAAGGCGATTTTTGCACCTAAAGAGGTTTAAGTTAAACCTCTCAACCTCACGGTTTGACCTCTTTAGGCAAACTTATATTTTTAGGCTCTTTTACAAAGGCTGCAAATCGGGGCCTAAGGGTAAGGCGAAGGACCTCAAGGTAACAACAGTGTGAGGACGGGCAATAGGCGCATCGCGAGGAAACAACTTCTGAGAACCCAGCCAGAAAGGAAACAATAGAGTTTCACCGTGATATGAAAAACACAAGTGAAAAACATATTTCACGACGACTACATATCACCGCGAATATCGCGTTTTTCACGGTGTTGTACGCCACTTCACGTGAAATGGGTGAAACTCCAATGAGCAACACTAATATACAGAGACGTAGTCCAACTACTATCATTGCAATCCTAATCGAACCAAGCAAGCCCAACAATACTATAAAATAGGAAACGTCTTTCGGACGATGAGAAGCCAGTCTCTTAAAGATGGACATAACCGTAGTACAAACATCTTATTGCCAAGTAGGAAATGCTCCAATTAAAAAGACCAAGGCAATGCAAATCCTCTCGGCAGGTCTACCACTACCAGACGACGGTGTAACAGTCAGAATCAACCTAGTAGCAGAAGGAGCACTGGGGGTGGTGCTCACCGGGCCAGGCGGAGGCGGATAGCTGCAGAGATCAGCAACAGTCCAACCACCTTTCGGTGTCGAAGAGATTAAAGTCGACTTGAGAATATCACAGTGACAGCAAAGTTTCACATCGTGGAAACATAAGCGGCCTTTAGGGTTCTGCCAGTCCGTACAGTAAGATCCTTGAGCACGCCCTTGGGCATTCGTAGGATGAATGCCGCGACGAGGAGCATCAGCTTGGCAAGAATGATCCCAACAAACACGTAGTTCTTTTGGGGCGGGCGTAATACAGGGGTGTCCTTCGAACCACTCTGTGTCGAGGCACCAACCAATCGGACAATACCTCGACGGAGGCCTTGTCGAAGTGGTGACATTCTGAGTAGGACCAACAGTAGTAGTATCATTAGCAACGACCCTTCATACACGACCGATGAAAACACACAGAGCCACAGGCATATCCAGACGCTGTCACTAAATTATATTAACTATTCAGTAATTAGAGCGTTTTGCAGCGAATATCTGGCGTGCGCGAAACAATACTGAGCGGCACAAGCTAAATCGAGAATCTTGTGTTCTTGAGTTTCCTCAATAGTACAGGGCTCATCACAGTGAGAAAAATCACTAATCTAAGGAAAATGCCATTCTTAGGGAGCACTCTCGATAAACGGTTTGCGGCAAGAGTTTTCCCCGCTGGATAGAGCATAAGGTTATAGTCATCTAATCGGTGTTAGACGAATGTATGTTGACGCTCCTCAGCTGAGCTCAGAAAGCTCCTTCCTAATTATTGGAGTTTATATACTAAATCGGGTAGCACTCCAGACTCGGAATCTGCCGATCTGGGTTCCGAATCTGAACTTCAGATCGTCCCTGAGCTTCACGAATTGATAGCTCAAGTAGAACTAGCTTATGGCAAACCAGCTCGGTCAATAAAAACTATCAAATAACGGTGGTAGAATAGCTAGCTAGACGTCAGCTACCATTATCTCTACTATCACATAATTGTAGCCATCACTTCGCTCCGCTAGGCAGTTTCATGTTGTCTTATTGAAACGGCTAGGCGTCGAGTTCGTTCTCTTTCGCAGTTCTATGATCATATTGCTTTGTTTCACTTGCTTCTCCCATCTCTGTCGATCCCATTAGTCCTCCCTTAATTTGAAGATTTTCTAATTTTCCTCATCGTCACGATAGACATGTAGTTTACCAAGTGCATGTTCTCCTTTCAACTTCATTTTATAGTAGCGAGGAGATTGACAACGACTTGCAGGGAAGCGTCGAGATGATTTACGACTTCATATTTTATGGCATTTTTTGGGGGTACTTTTGATATGATGTACCGTATGTGATGACATTTTTAGGAGTCGGCCTGCGAATTTGAAACTTATTCGATTACATGTGGAGAATGTCAGGTGTGCGGTATCGAAATGTCGAAGTGTGTGGGGAAGGATGTGCCTTGCGTACTTGTTTACACTAAGCTGCGATTGTTAATACCTGTATAAGACGATACAAGGCGTAAGTGTGGCGACTAGCAATGTCGGAGGTATTTCGACAACCTTAATACCACACGAAATTCAACGGTCACTACATACGGGGACATTCTGAAGGCCTTAGCATAATGTGTTAGCTATGTAACTAAGCTGAGCAGGATTGAGATGCGACTGTGTCAGGTTGTTCAACACCACGGTGATATTAGCGCGCGCCCGATGATTGTGATATGGGTCGCTGAAATGATACCGATGGTTGAGGGAATTTATAAATATATGTTGTAATTGGTTGGTAGGATTGGTACTTTTTATAAAATGATAGTCGCTAGTTCGTCGTTTCGGAGAGGTATGTGCATTGTGGTGACACGTGGAGAGGTGACACGTGGAGAGGTGAGTGTTGGTGGTGATAGTAGTAGTAGTAGTAGTAGTAGTAATAGTAGTAGTAGTAGTAGTAGTAGTAGTAGTAGTAGTAGGGGTTGCTATATATGTCTTGTTGGTAGTAGGTAGTAGAAGCAGCATTAGCGTACTTCAACTCGCATGCTGATATGGATAGCAGTGGCTTGCAAGCGACAGTGCAAGAGCTCGGAGGGGGTATGCGGAAGTCTCAGGCTGGGGTAGTTTATGGAGACGAACGTTTCAAGAGGCTCATGGCGACTGTGGGGGCTCGGATTGGAGTAGGTTGGGAATGGTTGTTTTTACCCGATGAAAAACGTCACGATAACGTATAATGGTATAACCGGTCAATGGAGGGGTTGGGTAGTGGACACCGACGATTATATGTGTGAGATAACTTCCGAGTAATGCTATTAATTTGTCCTTGACCTCGCTAGCTGTGGCAACGTGGTAAAATTTGCACTTCCGCAAGCGTTGGTGACAATATCAAAACTCTGAGGAAATTTTATTGAATTTCCCTTAGTTTCTGTCCGCGATCGTATATATTCTCTGGTTTCGTATATGAACTCCTATAATCATTGAGGAAACTATTGAGCTCAGCAGCTGAGGAAAGCGAGAACATGTTTTGCAGCACTGAGCTTTGGTATCGTGGGATCGTTGCTTACGATGCAAACTTGTCATTGGGAATGATGAAACTTCATCGAATAAAGAGGCACTTGCCACTCGATGAAGCTGAGATTCTTTTAGTGTTGTTTGGTCAGGAGCTCGATAGCGGATCATTAGTGGAGATGGCTAGCGCACTGAGTGCATTACCGGGGCCTTCAACACCGGAGGTTTCGGAGGTGTGTAGGAAAATAACAGAAATTATGGTAAAGAGAAGGGATGAATTTAAGTAATAAATGGTGTGTTAAAGTGTCGATGGTGGGAATCGAATCTGTGCGGGATCAGGCCTGCGGGTTTGGCGAGGATAGCATTGGCGTTGGCGTGTCGAGGCTCGAGGGATCCTACGCTTATCGAGATGGTGAAGGAGGATACGCTCTCACAAATTGAAGTGAGTCTATGTGAGATATATTCGCTTTCCTCAGCTATGTTGAGAAGTACACACGAATGAAAGTGAACAGAAAACTAAGGAGAACTTCCTCTCAGAATTTCCATATTGTCACCAACAGATGTGGTTGACCATGTGCATATTCTCTCGGGCTTTCATCGGCTATGCTCAGGAGTGTTATTGTGTACTATGGGAATTTATATGTGATCGGGGAAAAATTTTCAGAAGCCATAAAGAAATTCTCTTGAAATTTTCAAATGTGCACAGACTAGCACTTGGTGGTTACTCGAGATGAGGGCTTCGTGAGGAAGGGGCTGAGTCTGCCGACCTAACGCGGAGAATTAGGAATCTGATTTTACTGAGGATTTTCGTATTTTTTTATGGATACCTTTTTCTCTGGGTCGCCGTTATAAAAACCGTTATAATAACCATTATAAATGTTATTAGAGAACAATTTACCTAACGAAGTGACATCTGTTGCAGTATATGCTCTGTTCACTTTAAAACAGTAGTAGTCGGAAAATAATGGGTGTCGATGATTTTTTGGTATGATTCAGTTCACTCTAATGAGGTTTGTTGCTCATTTCTGCTGATTTGAGAAATCATGTTACATTTTTGATTAAATGATGATAGTAAAAGTACCATTATAGATATTATGTATACTTATCGGTAAAGATTAGATTAATTTTTATTGGAGTTTCACCACCCTAGTGATATGAAAATCACTAGTGAAAAACATATTTCACGACTACTGCATATCACCGTGAATTTCGCATTTTTCACCGAGTTTTACGCCACTTAACGTAAAAGGGGTTGTGAAACTCCATTATATTGTAACAACTTGGCTAAATGAAAATCAAAGGAGACCCTGTTCTACTTGGGAATTGTAATTTTGATATTTTACATATGAAAACGATGACGGATGATGCACAGCTTGATAGACTTCATGCGATTCCAATTAGGATATAGTTGCGAATTCAGCTCACATGTATATATCACTAGTTTGCTAGTTTGGAATCGATTTCATTCCATCTCACTATATATGATATTGATGCTCCTCAGGAGTTCTCACCATCAGAGTTATGCTGTATATTGGAGGCACATAGGCGTTGGGGTGTTCACGATCGAGAACTAACTGAGAATGTTGTCGAACGCTTGACCGACGAAGTTGACCGGTACGCCGTTTTGGTTGAACTCGTGTGAATTTAGGAGATAACAGTAGGGAAAATGATGACATTTTTATGAGAAAATGTTTTGAAAATGTGGAAAAATTCCGAAATGGATTCTGGTTCACCGCAGATTCACTGCTGAAGATTTAGTGAAGACTCTGGAAGTGTTTGCCAGTCTTGGTTTGGCTAGGTAAGAGTGTTGATGATACTATGAGGATGAACTTGATAAGTAATGTGAAAATTATCAAATGCCAGGCTGAAAAAATTATATGGCTGTTGTAAAATGCGGAATAGAAACAAACTATCTTCACAAAATCACAAATCAGGTTGTTTTTTTCAGAGGACTGCTGCTGAGACGAGTCGCGGCTTTGTCGCATGATCAGCTACCACAGTTTACTCCAAGTCAATTGGTGAAAATTCTCAAGAGTTTGTCTAAACTTAGGTAGTACGGGTGGGTAGGGAAAGATATGTAGTAGTATGATCACTTTAGGTTTTTGTCAACTGTGCAAATTAATGGAATAATGGAGGCGTTAGGAGATCTGAGAGAGTCTCTGAGAACGCCCAGACGGGTGAGTGTTTATTCATACCGGTTTTGTGGTATTCGGAAGTATTATGGTATTCGGAGGAGACAGAAGTGGTGTTGGAAAATATGCACATGTGTTGGTGACAATATGGAAAATCTGAGAAAATTTTGCGAAATTATCATTGATTTCTGTACGACTTCTAGCCGGATGCTGTAATTGGTGAGGGAAGTCTCAAGTTCGGCTGAGGAAAGCGAAAATGTATTTCAAGACTGGGTAGAGATATTGATGAACGGACACATTAATACTCCTTGGTATGTCAAAGTGAAGAATTCAGAATTTAAGCGATTTTTAGTGTATCAGCATTATGAGTGTATTCGATGATTGAATTTTCAGTATTGATGTATGTATCATTCTCTCCAGGAAGTTTTGTGGGGGGCGGTCCTTAGGCGCACTTAGTTACTTATAGTTACTAAAACGCGGAGAGGCGATATATGGGTATAATGGTATTAAGTACAAT